GCGATAGATGAACTAGCAAGGCTACATCGGTCCATCATGAGGCTAAAGGTATGTAAATCTATAGACGTAATTAGGCGGTAAGGCCTAGGGTTAGAGTACTGTATGTGCTTAAAAATGCTCGTGATGGGACATGACGATGAAACTACAATAAATTTGTAGAAACGCTAGATCGTCATCCCTTGAAATGGCGCATATCGTAGAGTTAACAGCAGTAATTTTTTCCTGAAAAATTTTGATGAATGAGAAAAAAAGCGAAAAGTGCAGGCTTCGTGATGAGAGGTAAGTTGTAAGAATCAAAGTTTCAAAAAGTTTGGCCTACATTTCAATAATAAGATATCCATTGTTTCCATTAATGACCTCCATAAATGAAAGTATTACAATTGTCCTACTCCTTTAGCGATTCCTATGAAACCAAAACTTCAGATGCATTTCAGACGCGGGACAAAACCTCATTCTCGACAATTTGCCTTCGCCAACTCGACTCTTGCGCCCTTCATCCAATAGGTTATGCGCTCGAGGACGAAGATCCGGTATTATGAAATTAAGTTCGAACGTAACCAAAACCTTTTAACTCCCTTCAAACATAGGTACTCTCAGTGCAGTTCCTACTTCGATATCCTATGCTGAAATTTGGTGATTTAACTATTGATAATGCTCTAGTTCTTGGCGACGTTAAGGTGGATCATGCGGTGAGTTAAATATGAAGTAATTTTCAAATTCTCAGAGTTATTTTTAGAAAGAAGATGACGATGGTAATGCTCCTGTAATATCAGCTAAGGCTATACGTTTGTTTTATCTATTAGAGCCGACTATGGAAGCGGAGAGGTTGGAAATTGAAATTATTTGCCAAAATTAGTTTGATTATTTTCTTAGAAGTTTTTGTAGATGGATTGAAGTATTTTTGGAGCACATGATCGGATATCACACCAACTCTTCTCATATTTTCTACACTTCATCCAAAAGTCTTGCCAGCGAAATGGAACGGAATGGGGTGGTAAGCATTTTATCAAAATTCTAGTGAATCAACATGAAATATTTATGATTGGATTAAAAAAGCGTGAAACGTGGATAATGACGCAATCAAATGTTGTATCAAATTTTTTGATTTTCAATATAATAATACAATATTAAAATTTAGAACAAAGACATCGCTTTATCACTTTTTCCTTGATTTCCTTGTGGTTCTTCATAGCTTTCTGAAGAAAAAT